TTCACATTGCACTTACACTGCACTCACACTCCACTCACTCCATCACACTGCAGTTATGCTCCACCCACTCATCACACTGCACTCACACTCCACTCACTCCATCACACTGCACTCACACTCCACTTACTTCATCACACTACACTCACATCTGCACACTGCACTCACTCCATCACACTGCACTCAAACCGCACTCACACTGCATTCACAGTCTACTCAGTGGCACCCAGACTTACCCCCAGTGCAAATGAGATTCTGAGCCAAAAAAAAAAAAGAATATGGGTTCAAGTCTAGGCACCCCAGGCTTCCCAGGGAAGGAACTCTGCTCCTCTTTCAGCCCCTCAGCTGGCCCTTCTGACTAAGAACAGATGCTGGAGATTGAAAAAGTGCACCCAGAAAAGGAGGAAAATGCATTTCAATGGGAGTGAGAAGGAGCCAAAACAGGGAAGGCCCTTCTCCCTGGTGTGTGGCAAACATGGTTCAATTCCCAGCATCCCATATGTTCCCCTGAGCCCCTCCAGGAGTGATCCCTGAACATAAGGCCAGGAGGAAACCCTGATCACCACCGGGTCTGACCCAATTCCCTCTTAAAAGAAAAACAGTGGCAGTGGGGGGTGGAAGGGGTAACTGTCCTCTGTGGTGTCTTAAAGAAGTATTGGGGAAGAGAAGAAATTCTCCTGCAGGTGGGAGTGCACATAAAGACGGTGGGGCAGAGGCAGCGCTGGTAGTATTATAGTCTTATAATATCAAAAACATGAATCTTAGCAGTATAGTAAACCTTGCCACCTCAATCATAACAAAATAAAATAAAATATTCTAGCTCCCCTCCAATAGATAGGTCTGAAACTTCACCTGGCACAAATAGAGGAACAGAGACGGGTAAAGTGAAGAAAAAGGGGAAGTTTATTGGGGTACGCTCCTGAGCAGACCCTATGGACCTCTGGTGAGGCCAGGGTAGAGCCACGCCCTGGGAGAGACTAAGTAGGATTTTTAGTTGCCTTGGGAGGGAAAAGGGAACAGAGACCTTTGGGACCCGTGTGCTTGGTCTGCCCTTCTGTTATCTGTAGGGGATGGATGTGAGGATGCAGGGAATGTAGCCTGGTGACTGGCTAGAGCCGGATGGACCATGAGTCCTGTCTTTCTCATGGGGGAGGACAGGGGTGGAAAGGGAGGTGGTGGCAGGGGTGAGGCACGGTTATCTCTCATTCTGGGAATGTCACTGTCTCATCAACATGTCGCCATTTGGTCCCCAGCACACCTTATACGCTCTATCCCTTTGGGTTTTTCTCAGCTTGTTCAAGCAACCAGATTCACATTTAATTAGTTAGTTAAGAGAAAAGAACCACACCACTTAGGTCTGTCTGTATGAAAAATCCACAGAAGGGAGTAGAGTCTGAAGTCAGTGGTGCCCATGAGCGTCTACAACCTGGGTTGAGGAGTAAGAGAGGGGTCTGGGGCCTCTAAGGGAGAGGAGGAACCCGCCTGGCATGAGACAAGGTGTCAGGATAAGAGCAGATGAGTGCAATGAGACGTTTCCCCATTTCAACACGATTCTATGATTGTGATATAAAGGAACCCTATGGGGGTGCCGAGGATCAAGCCTGGGTCAGCCATGTGTGCAAGGCAAGCACCTTTTCTGCTTGGTCTATCACTCTGGCTTCTGTTCTGAGCATCTCAGGGAGATCTGTCGTGGGTAGGAAGCATCACTGACCAGCAGTTCTTGGGGAAGACCAATTGCTTTGGCAGTCTGGGAGGCAGAGGCAGGCAAATGCCCATGGTTCCCACAACCCACTCTGCAGAGCAGAGACCAGAGCTCATCCCACACTGGCATATTTGGAGACTCCCACTCAGGACAAAATTAGCAGTGGAGCTCCGATGTGCCTGTTCTGGGCCAAAAGCACCCCTCCTTGTAGGGGGCTGCTGGCAGGGAGCAGGGACACCGTCTTGGCCATCCACACACTCTACCACCCTCCACACTGCCACAGGCACAGGTGCTTTTTTTTGTTTGTTTATATATTTATTTTGGGCTAGAGCGATAGCACAGCAGTAGGGCGTTTGCCTTGCACGCAACCAACATGGCACACCGGAGTTCGATTCCTCCGCCCCTCTCGGAGAGCCTGGCAAGCTACCGAGAGTATCTCGCCCGATCGGCAGAGCCTGGCAAGCTCCCCGTGACGTATTCGATATGCCAAACACAGTAACAACAAAGTCTCCAATGGAGACGTTACTGGGCCCGCTCAAGCAAATCGACAAACAACGGGAGGGCCTAAAAAAATATTTATTTTTTTACTTTTTTATTTTTTACATTTTTATTAGTGAAACACCATGAGGTGCAGTTGTAGAGTTACAATATTTTTTTTATTTTTCATGGACTGTTGTCCTACTCTCTGTTCCAAGGGGGAAAAAAAAAAAACAGAAACAAAGCCACTCTCACAGTGAATGGCTATACCTGTTCTGGGCAGTGACCTCCAAGTTCAGGTCTGCAAGACACGGGCCTCCTGGACGCCATTCCTTCCCTGTGCTGAAATGTAAACCAGATCTCTGGGGCTGAATTTCAAGGAAACGAACCAACCATGAGCAAAGTTAATCCAGACATCCTGAAGTACCACCAACGTCCCAGCCCTGTACTTACTTACTGCTCTGCTGTGCTCCCTGAACGAAGTGGGAAAGGTAGCTCTCCTCAGAGTCAAAGGACCCAGAATGAAAACCCTGGGGGTGGGGATGGGGGGTGGAGAGAGAAATGACTTTACAAACATTTGACAGCTTCAAAATAACTAAACAAGAAGTTCCAAAGGATGTTTTATGTATGTTCAAAGAAGAACTAATTCCAGCTCTCCTTTGGTTCTTAGATTTTTAAACCTTTCTTGATGCACCACTAACTAGTTACCATTGCTATTTGATCATTAGAGAAGCATAAAATCACCAGGGCCCAATCTGCAGGTATGAAATGTTGAGAGAGACAAAACCAGTGAGAAGCACTTACATAGAAGAACATTTACCACGGTTTCTTAACCTTGGCATTGAATCAGTCACCCATCAATGACCAGATGTGTCTACGAACCAACAAACATGGGAATTATTCCCACAGATATCACACCCCACACACATACCGCCCTGTGGTTATCAGGGGCCACTAGATCCACACCTGCTGTTAGTGGCCAGAGGCCAGGTCGTGGTCGGGATCAAACTCACAGCCTCACATTAGCAAGACAGAAGCTCTACCATTGGCACCAACTCCCAGTCCCCCAAAATATCTTTTAACCTCTCAAATTTAACTGACTGTGTAAAGAGCTTGCTAAGAATCTTGCTCCTAAGTATAGGGAGTGAAAGGGAAAATAATGTACAGGGAGGGGATATTTATGACCAGTCTGTTCTTTCCTGGCATCAGGCACATGGTTTAATTGGATCCTATAACTTGGGCCATAATCATCATATTGTAAATAAGAAAATGCCTCAAAGCATTTGGGAGTGTTTTAGCCCACTCGGGTACCGTACAACAGGGAGGTGATTCTCTCCTTCCGGGTGTCAGCCCCCACTGTCGTTCTCAGGGCTGGAAAGGCAAGCACCAGCAGGGCTGTTCCCAGGGAAATCTTTCTTCCTGGCCCCAGCTCCGTGCTCTCGCTTGGCCCCTCCTCTGTAGGGGTGAGACAGTGTCTTTCCCTCACCCGCAGTTCACCAGCTCTCCTCACGGCTTCACCTCACATTCCTTACCTCACCTCACCTTTAAGCACCCCATCTAGGCTACTCTCAAAATACAGTCCAGGGGGAAGGGCTTCGACCCAGGGGCTAGGGGAGTGGGGGTGGGACATGACCCAGTCGACAGCAGGGAGTACATCCAAAAGTCCACAGTTGCTGTCTGGATCCAAGTCGTCTTTGTGTTCTTGTTTTCTTTCTTGTCGTCTCCTCCTCCTCCTCCTCCTCCTCCTCCTCCTCCTCCTCCTTCCTTTTCCTCCTTCTTCTCCTCCTCTTCCTCCTCCTCCTCCTCCTTCCTTTTCCTCCTTCTTCTCCTCCTCTTCCTCCTCCTCTTCCTCCTCTTCCTCTTTCTCCTCGTCCTCCTTTTTCTTCTTCTTCTTCTTCTTCTTCTTCTTCTTCTTCTTCTTCTTCTTCTTCTTCTTCTTCTTCTTCTTCTTCTTCTTCCTCCTCTTCTCCTCCTCCTCCTCCTCTTCCTCCTCCTCCTCCTCCTCTTCCTCCTCCTCCTCCTCCTCCTCCTCCTTCTTCTTCTTCTTCTTCTTCTTCTTCTTCTTCTTCTTCTTCTTCTTCCTCTTCCTTCTCCCTTCTCTTTATCTTCCTCTTCCTCCTCCCCCCTTCTTCCTTTCATACTCTAATGGTCATGAATCAGGCTGTAATATATATTGGGTTGCATATTTTTTCCAATTAGTGTTTTCAACATTTTTTGACAAATACCTAGAAATGGAATGACTGGATTGTATGGCATTTCTAGTCTTCATTTTGGGGGTTGATTCCACTTCCAACAGTGCTCAGAGGACCACGCAGTGCTGGGGATGGAACCCAGCAAAGTCATCTACCCTGCCCTTTCTTCTTTAATTTTTGGGAAATCTCCAGACTCTGCCCCATGAATTCGGCACCAATTTACCTTCACAGCAACAGTAGGCAGAGTTTCCTTCCCTGAGACATGCATAGATGCCTTCTCTATGCAGAGCGCATTGCCGCTCCCATCTCAGGGAGAGCGTGGAGACTTCCTAACCTACATTGCCAACTGCTGACTCACAGGGTTTGTTGGCAGGGAAGCCCTTGGGTAGATGTGAGTGCCATCTTAATGGCAACATGCTTACAGAAACTGGGGTGCAGAGCACAGGAGTCCATGCAACTAGAAGCCTGTCCAGGTGGTGCCAAACAAGATGGGCTGCCTCTGCTTTGATCATTGCTACCCAGGGGGTATTTGGTTGTACTCCAGCATACCCCACTCTCCCCTGTATTTTCCATGATCCTTGGACAGCCCATGTTTCATTGCACTTCTCTTTTTTTTCCCTCCAAACCACCAGCTAACGTCCTAGAGGGCGACTCCATGGACCAGGATGTCGAGAGCCCCGTGGCCATTCATCAGCCAAAGTTGCCTAAGCAAGCCAGGGACGACCTGCCCAGACACATCAGCCGAGACCGGACCAAGAGGAAAATCCAGAGGTACGTGCGCAAGGACGGCAAGTGCAACGTCCACCACGGCAACGTGAGGGAGACCTACCGCTACCTGACCGACATCTTCACCACCTTAGTGGACCTCAAGTGGAGATTCAACCTGCTGATTTTCGTCATGGTTTACACAGTGACCTGGCTCTTCTTCGGGATGATCTGGTGGCTAATCGCTTATATCCGAGGAGATATGGACCACATAGAGGACCCCTCGTGGACTCCCTGTGTCACCAACCTCAACGGGTTCGTCTCTGCTTTTTTATTCTCCATAGAGACAGAAACCACCATTGGCTATGGCTACCGCGTCATCACGGACAAGTGCCCCGAGGGAATTATCCTCCTCTTGATCCAGTCCGTGCTGGGCTCCATCGTCAATGCGTTCATGGTGGGGTGCATGTTTGTGAAAATATCGCAACCCAAGAAGAGGGCAGAGACCCTGGTCTTTTCCACCCACGCGGTGATCTCCATGCGGGATGGGAAGCTGTGCCTGATGTTCCGCGTCGGCGACCTCAGGAATTCCCACATCGTGGAGGCCTCCATCAGGGCCAAACTGATCAAATCCAAACAGACCTCGGAGGGGGAGTTCATCCCTTTGAACCAGACAGACATCAACGTGGGTTATTACACCGGAGATGACCGGCTGTTTCTGGTGTCGCCGCTCATCATCAGCCATGAAATTAACCAGCAGAGCCCTTTCTGGGAGATCTCCAAGGCCCAGCTGCCCAAAGAGGAACTGGAAATCGTGGTCATCCTCGAGGGAATGGTGGAAGCCACAGGTAAGGCGCACTCCGTCCCCAGCTCCCAGTGCTATCAATCGTTGCATATTTTTATCTAGACCCCATGTTCTATTTTTTTATTTTTAATTTTTATTTTCATAAAAGTAATTCACAATAGTTCATTACAGATAACATTCAAACACCAGTCTCACCACCGAACACCTTCCCACCACAATAAGAGGTAAGTGTGTGAGGGTTGTTGTATTTCATTCTGAGCCATTTAAGCCCGAATATAAGAGAATACAAGCAAGTATATTTAAAAAATCAAACAAATGTGTGCTACTTTTGATAAGTAAGTGAGGTAGAGTATAAGAGGTCAATGAAATTCTGCATCACTCTCTTCCAGGAGCTTTAGTTTATAGTCTCTGGGTCTTGGCCGTTGATGCAATTACATGGTGCCTGGGGCAGATTGTGGGTGTGACTGCAAAACTACTGGAAAACTACTGGGAGGAGGAGGCCTAGTCCAGATCCGAGTAAACTTGGAGATCTCAGTCACGGGTTCCAGTGTACCTGGGTTTTTCTGCCGGTCCGCTCTCCACAGTGAGGTTCATCCCATCTTGAATGAGCCTCATCCCCTCTTGGATGAAGTTGTCCGTGCGTGTGGAGAGTGGCCTTGAGCATGGCAGTGGTTGGTTTCTGGAGGTTTTTGGCTGCCGGGGTTCTGCTTGGGGCAGGGAGGAAGACTCAACTCACCCCACTCCGAGGTGCCCCGGTAAAGAGAGCCTGGCGCAGGGTCAGGAAGACCTCATGTTCTTAGTTACAGTGTAAGATTGAAAGCTGAATCTCACTCACTTTCACACTGTCCAGTGCTTTATTGGGATTCAGTGCCCGTATTACCTCCAGCCTACTTAGACCACCAAGAAGTCTAACCATTTAACTTTTTAAAAGCCCTTTGGAAGATAAATGAATACTCAGTGTTTGAAAAGCTGATTAATAGATCTTAGATTTCCAAATATTCACTTAATTTCAAAGTTGATATGTCTCTAAAGAAATTTTTTTTCACGGCTTTAAAACATTCCTTAATTTAAATGCTTGATGTTATTCATCGCTAAGCCAGAGGAAGAAGTGCTTTCTAAGGACGCCTGACAGATTGCTTTAATAAAAGCACAATTTCATTTCTTCTTGGGGAGCCGTTTATAAGATCATAGCATTGGTTGTTCTTTCACATCTTCTTTTATGTCCATTCATGCCTGGTGTCCTTCTCCATGCTCTATGACTGAACCCCCTGGTAGACTTAAATCAACAGGCCCGTTAACAACAACTAATAGAAAAGAAAAACAAGAATGTCTCATTTCTCATCACCCTGTTGAGCTGTCTGCTGGTCATGACTAATCTTTGGCTTGCTTTATGGGAGAGGCTCCGTGCTTTTCTGGATTCACGCTCATTATACTACCGTACCACAGGTAGTATAATGGTTCTGCCCACTTGTGTCCGTCGCAATCCACAAAACCCAGCAATCAACTCTAACATCAGCTACCTCACAGGAAAACTATAACCTAGAACCCTAATGCATGCTTCTCTCTCTCCTGTTCTTCTGAGTTACCGGCTTTAGCCGGGGGGCTCCCTTTGAGTTCTACAATCTGCCCTTCTGTGCAGGTTAGACTTCACATCACTGTTTGGCTCAGTTTGAAAATGCATCATCCCTGCTCTGGGCTAACCTCAGACAGAGTCTGCCAGCCTAAAAACTAAGCCAAGTTCTCGGAGCTGGGGAGATAAACCAACAGGCAAGACACTTGAATGTGGCTAACCCGGTTTCTTCGCCGGCACCCTCTATGGTTCCCCAGGCCCCACCAGGAGTGACCTCTGAGTGCAGAGCCAGGAGTAAGCCCTGAGCACCACTGGCTATGGTCCCAAAACAGAACAAAACAGCAACCACAAAAGCAAGCTGAGTCCAGTTATCCATGCAAATAAAAGCCCTTGGTTCTGTGTCGCTGCCTGCCTGTCCTTAAGAGGCGAGTGCCTAGGGGTGGGGGCAAAGAGTGAAAACTGCAACTGATTTTCACAATGAAAATGTGAGACAAGGGGGTGGGGTGATAGCAGAGTGGATAGGGTAGCCGCCTTGCACGCGGCTGACCCAGGTTCGATTCCCAGCATCCCATATGGTCCCCTGAGCACCACCAGGAGTAATTCCTGAGTGCAAAGCCAGGAGTAAGGGTGTGACCCAAAAAGAAGATAGAAAGAAAGAAAGAAAGAAAGAAAGAAAGAAAGAAAGAAAGAAAGGAAGGAAGGAAGGAAAAAAGGAAGGAAGGAAGGAAGGAAGGAAAGAAAGAAAGAAAGAAAGAAAGAAAGAAAGAAAGAAAGAAAGAAACCGTAAATGCTTTGCCTGAAGCGCTATCACATGAGTATGCACCTTTGCATTGAGTTCAAGAAGTTTGGGCTTAATCCCAAGATAATTATCGTGAAATCTAAATAAGTGACGTGCAGATAACTTGAACACCGTGAACCTGACCTTGGCGTGGACTCGTGAGGCAATAATGGGGGGCCGGGGCAGTCCCAGGAGGGAGGAAATCCTCCAAGCTGTCACTCTGCAGACCAGAATCCTCACCCTCCTGGCCTGAGCACGAGGACCGGGATCCCCCTAGTGGCGGCCGGGCTGCGTGGCCTTGGCAGCTGCAGTGTTAATATGCGATTTCTCCCTCTGGATAGGGCATGAGGGAGGATGGAGGAGAAGCCTTATTGTCAGGTTGTATCTCTGGACTCAAGAAGCTCGGCACAGCAAACAGAAACCTCTGGAATTAACCCCTCTGGTTATTGGTGTTGGTCTGAGCTTTCAAAGGTAGGAGCTGAGCTTCCTGTTCTCCCAAACCAAAGAAATGAAGCCAGAATAAGCAGATTATCTCTGTGATGTTCCTGAGCAGGGAGATGCTCCCTGGGACAGACCCTGTCTTTCCGATGACAGCTGGTAAGGAGAGAGTCTTTCCAAAGGGGGAATGTCACTCACTTGGTAATTAACAGTGAGACTTACCTTCTAGTGTTCAGAGGCCTTTCAACTGCTTTGCTAGAGACAACTGGGGAGCTACCAGCTAACAGGGACTTAGCCTATTCCTGGGAGGAAAAAGAAAACCATTACCCATTTTCATTAAAAAAAAAAAACACATAGTTTTGTGTTTTCTGGAAAGTGGAGGGGCTATCTAGAAAATTCCGAGTCTGTCTGTAAGCTGCCGATCTCTTCTTCCTGCTAGAATTTGTGCAGTTCTGTGCCTCTCACACAAGCGAACGCTAAGCTTTAGCAGGAGGCTTTGAGTTCATGGAGGAAAAAAGAAAACGCAACTGAGATTTGTGGGCTTCAAAGAGGTGGCCCCGTGGGTAGGGTTGTGCATCAATATATATCAGTGAGTCAAAGATGGGGAGGGTGAGGAGCAGATGTGCCCCCCAAGGAAAACAGAACCACAGGGGTCTAATTATTGCAGGGGAATCAGGGGTCATCAAAGAGGGGAAATCACAACAGCATGCTGACTTGAAGCAACTTCCCCCTCTCCACATTACTTCTTTCAGAAATGTCTCACTTACGGGCCAGGAGAGAGTCGCCGTGAGGCACATACCTAGCATGTGCCCGCTCTGGGTTTGATTCCTGAAACCACAGGGTCCCCCGAGCATCGCCAGATGTGACTCTGGGACCCCCAGCACTGCCGGGTGTCCTGGGTAATCCCCAGCTCTACAGAGTCCAAACAGTATCATACTCTTGGGCCTTTGCATTGAAGTTCTGGCCCAGTTGGCTGAGAGTTGCTGGTGGGGTTCCTGCCTCTGGGGAGCCCCCTAAAAATATCAAGATAAATTAAAATCTTAACTTTAGGGGCCAGAGCAATAGTGCAATGGGTAAAGCATTTGCCTCGCACACGGTTGTCCTGGGTTTGATCCCCGGTATCCCATATGGTGCCCCAAGCACCACCGGGAGTGATTCCTGAGTGTAGAGCCAGGAGTAACCCCTGAGCATCACCAGGTGTGCCCCCCTCAAAAAAAATCTTGACTTTCAATTGCCATGTCCTTTTATCTCCATGTCTCTCAAGACTGAGCCCCATGCCAGGGCCTGGATGCAGAACCCTCTTCCCGTCCTGCAGGTCCTGGGAATTCAGTGACCTCCAGGTTTGAGCTCTCCTGGGGTGCCTCAGTCCTCTGGCTCTCTCCCATGGCCCCACTAGCTGGTGCTTCCTGCCACATTGCACCCCAATGCAAGCTAGCCTGCAGCCTGATCTTCATCAAAGCAAGAGCTTCCCTAGAAGACAAGGGACACCCCTTGGAAGCAGAGAGCAGGTTTTATCCATCTTTGAAGCCCTCATCCCCGGTGCCAGTCGTTTACTTGAAGAGTTCCAAGACCTCAGTGAAGACAGACGTGCACCTCTGAAGAGACCTTCAGGCGGGCTACTTTGGGCCACAGGGAGAGAGGGTCGGGCACAGTGACCTCCCAGAACCTTCCAGTCACACAATTCTATTTTGGAAAATGAATCAAACCCCGAACCATTCTGACACCCGCCACCCAGACATCTGGGAACTGGCCGTGTCTCATCTCCCAAATATATTTTTAAAGGGGGCCCTTTATGTTCCTGGCGCATGGGCAATTTTGAGATAGTGATGTTTACAGAAGGGCTCCTAGCTACGTAAACAAACATGCTCGGCAGCTGTGGCAAGTGTGTGTTAAAATAGTAAAGCATTCATATAGACGGTTATTTATAGAGGGCAAATTGGCCTGGAGGCTAGATGAGCGTGCCACGGAGCTGGGCCCACTGCCAGCCAACTCCTCACTCTAGCCTTTCTGATTGATGAATTTCCATATTTACCCCCAATGATTATGCAATTGTGACAAGCAGCCCTTCCCAACACCTCCTCAAATGTGCTCATTAGGATCAACCCCCCGTAAGTCTTTTTTTCCCCTACACTTTTATTATGGAAACTATAGAACGCATGCAAGAATAGACCTAATAATATAATTGCCCCATGCCCATGTACCCATCATTCAGTATCTAATCAAGTGTCAATTTATGGCTAAATTTATTCCTTCTAGA